GACGGTGGAAATGGTCAAATAGAGCCAAAAGTACCCTAAAACACTAACTAATCATCTCTTGAATCCTTTTATGTGGTTAACACAGAAACAATATTTTATTGAATAACTGCAAGAGATTTGGAAACAAGCTTATTATGTCATCCCTCTTTTGCACAACCATTCACAGTTTAAAATTTGAGAAAAATTAGTGACACTGACACTTGACACTGTTTGGAATTTGTTGAGTTTATATTTTTATAATAGTAACATATATGAATTAATATGAATACAGAGTATGCAGAGTTTATCAAGTGAAGAAAGTTTAGTATTAGCTAGTGAAGAGAAATATTTTCAACATGAAGAGAGTATAGCTCAGAGATTACGCTGGGCAGCTGGAGCTAATCCTAATCTTAATCTCATACTCATACAATTTGAAGAGACTAGTCAACATAGAAAGACAATGTTAGCGGTAAGTGTGCTTTTTCTCATACAGTTAAAAATTATTAAAAGTTACCAAAACAAAGACAGATATATTTTAACATCCTTTTTTACTCAAATACAGCTTTTTAGAATGAACCACTTTGAAATATTTGCAATGTAGAATGATTTATTGTTATTTAAATTACTTCTTTAAATGAAGAATTGATTGATATTGCAAACATTTCATGTACAAATTAATTGGTAGATGTTTTACATGAAAATGTTTCCATGTCAAATAGGACTTGAAAGGCATAGAGAGCTGCACATTAAGTGATATTTTTAGTCAGTCGATTCTAAGGATGCTTTCCGTTGTTTGATCTAGATTATGTTATTATTTTAATAGGAAGAAAGAAAGAGATGTACAGATATTATTAATTGGTGTCAAGGTATATTACATTTTGAAGCATCGAGAACAAGAACATCAGAGGCTATTTCTTCTGATAATAACTTTCATACATTGATCAAGAGGTAAGACTGTATTTAATGTTACCCCCCTCCCCCCTTTAATCTCCATGTTGATAATTTGCAAGCCCCATAAATATGTAATTAAGATCTATAACTACAACAATTTATTGTTTTCTGTAAGAGTTCATTATTTGAATTATACTTTTTTACTATAGGTGTATGGAATGTTGTGTTTTAATGGAAACATGTAATAGTTATGTAACACCACTTGAATTACAACTAGTTGAGAAAAAGGTTAGTTTTTTAATTCCGATTGCAATATTAATATAGCTCAATTTTTTCTAGAGTTAATTAAAAGTTAATATATGATCGGATATATTACATATTAAGGCAAATTAAATTACATTGTCATTTCAACTATTTTATAGCCACTAAAGAAAGATGGTAAAGTTGATAATAAATGGTTAGAAGAATGTTTAGAAGTTATTGATGTTTCTACCACTGAGAATAAAACTAAACATGATAAAATGTTAGCACAGTTTAAAACACAGAAAGTAAGTTCTTAATCTTAATATCATGTCTTGTCTATGATTTGTAGATATCCTGTCATATTGATAATTTGTAGATATCCTGTCTTATTTATAATTTGTAGATATTCTGTCTTATTTATAATTTATAGATATCCTGTCATATTGATAATTTATAGATATCCTGTCCTATTTATAATTTATAGATATCCTGTCTTATTTATAATTTGTAGATATCCTGTCTTATTTATAATTTATAGATATCCTGTCTTATTGATAATTTAAAGATATCCTGTCTTATTTATAATTTGTAGATATCCTGTATTATTTATAATTTATAGATATCCTGTCATATTGATAATTTGTAGATATTCTGTCTTATTTATAATTTATAGATATCCTGTCTTATTTATAATTTGTAGATATCCTGTCATATTGATAATTTATACATACCCTGTCATATTTATAATTTATAGATATCCTGTCATATTGATAATTTGTAGATATCTTGTCTTATTTATAATTTGTAGATATCCTGTCATATTGATAATTTGTAGATATTCTGTCTTATTTATAAATTGTATATATCCCGTCATATTGATAATTTATAGATATCCCTCCTTTTTTAAATAATTTGTAGATATTCTGTCTTATTTATAATTTATAGATATCCTGTCTTATTTATAATTTGTAGATATCCTGTCATATTGATAATTTGTAGATATCCTGTCTTATTTATAATTTGTAGATATCCTGTCATATTGATAATTTGTAGATATCCCGTCATATTTATAATATCCCGTCATATTTATAATTTGTAGATATCCCGTCATTAATATCCCGTTATATTTATAATTTGTCGATAACCCGTCATATTTATAATATCCTGTTATATTTATAATTTGTAGATATCCTGTCTTATTTATAATTTATAGATATCCTGTCTTATTTATAATTTGTAGATATCCTGTCTTATTGATCATTTGTAGATATCCCGTCATATTTATAATTTGTAGATATCCTGTCTTATTTATAATTTGTAGATATCTTTATAATTTGTAGATATCCCGTCATATTTATGATTTGTAGATATCCTGTCTTATTTATAATTTGTAGATATCCTGTCATTTGTAGATATCCTGTCTTATTTATATCTCTTGGTATCATGTTACATTTTAAATTGTTTGATATCCTGTTAAATTAGTAATATCTGAGTTATTAGATCTAGATATTCTGCCATACATATAATTGAGGGATATCTTTTTATATTTGTACTTTATGGATTACCTAATTTACCTTTAATTTCTAGATATCTTGTCAAGATAAAGTGAATGATATTAAAGCTATATTAAGTAGTCATCATAAATTGATGTCAGATATTAGATCAATTCTAAAATCACTGGCCAAGGTAAGGAAACAAGCAATATTTATCTTTCTTTTTATCATTGTAATATCCTAAACAAAGGCTTGTGTAATTTTATTTTCACACTGTGCAATCTTCAGTCTGAGCACCTATGCACACATGTTTAAACAAACCATCTGTAATTGACTCAAAGTGCAAACTCAAGAACATGTTCTACTTACAAAATACAATAGTGACACAAGATGAAAAAGAACAGTTCTGAAGATCGCACAACGTGAAACTCTGAGTAACAACATGTTTCAGGTTTTATTAAGGTTATATTGTCCTATAGCATATATAGTTTTTGATAATATAACTTACAGCAAGAAGAGACAGAATATGGTGAAGTTATTACAGAGGGTGGTATTAGACAATATCTAGTACAATATAAGACATTCTCTGAGAGTTTATCACTGGTATTAAAAGGTATTATACAAGATGAGGAGGATAGAGAGAATATGAAACAATCTAGAGTTGTGATGACTGAATTATTGACAGAAATACCCCAGTAAGTTTCTACTTAATGATATTGATTAATCCTTTGTTGAAAATATGATATTAGGTAAACAATGAAAAACTCTTTTAAATGCATAACAATATAGTTGGTCTCATTGTGTGATATCTCACTTAAAGAAGATGTAACTCAATGTAAATAATCATTCATAGGTGTTGAACATTTACTTCAAAGAAAAAAAGTAACAGAAATGAATGGTTCAATGTAATTTCTTTTTAACAACTTGAATTGTGATTATTATGGTTTTGTATTATGGAACTTTATAACATCCTTATCCTTCAGATTTATTTAGCAAAAACTTTTCTAGGTGATCTGCATATGAAATTGAAATTAAGCTCCCCTCTCAAAGGGCAATGCTTTTGAACTAAAATACTTTTTGTTTTACAGGATATATGACAATTTGATTGATTTAGCTCCACCATTGATAACTTTGGTTGATAAAGATATATGTGAGTTTATTTTAAGATTTTTGTTTAAATGTGTTGGTTCTGTCTGCATAGGTTTGTTCTTTACAGAAAGTCTGTAAACAATAAGTCATAATGTTTATAGTCAGTTTGTCAAGGGCTATTATTTGCTGATTATAAACCAATCAAATTGCTGCATTCCATGATACAAGAAAGGTGGCTATCCAAGACAAAGTTCATAATAGCTTGAAATTGGGAATATGTGTGAAAGTGAAGCTGACTGCATGGTTAAGATAATCAACATATTCACTGTGCTTGTTAAAATACCAACAAACATGATGTACACCTTGCACCTAATAGATTTTGAAATCAGTTATGTAGTGTTATCCGAGGTCTTAATGTGATGTTATTCCATTCTAGCTACTAAGAAGATAAAAGAAAGTGATGGTGTAGCAAGTCCAGGTAGAAAGCCTTCTTCATTCTATAAAGATACAGTAGCATCAACCCCACCCAACAGTTCTCAAAATATACCTTCTAAACTACAGAGTAGTAAGTTTTCAAATTGTTTTTTTTTATAGTCATTTAAAGATGGTAAGAAAAATAAGGTTGCAGACACTGGAAAAAGTTGATTGTGACAATCAAATACACTCTAAATAAAACAAATATGTGATTTTGTAGTCTCTATTGTATTCTCAAACAAACCAGACTGCTTTTTGGCAATACCAAGGTTGTGTACAAACCAATTTACTGCCGTCTACCATGATTTCAATTTTTATTAATTGTATTTAAGCAAATAAGTTGTTCTCTCATTTGATCAGTTTGAAATTGGAAAACCATTGTTTAATTATTATTTATTATATGGTTGTTTTGAGTTAATTGCTTGAAATGATGTTATTTATTTCTTGCAGCCCCTGTTGTAAAGAAAGATAAAATTGCCAGAGATCCCAGGACAGGAAAAGGTAGGGTATTAATGATTCTCGTAAATTTATACTCAGTATTTAATCAAAGTTGAATAACAGCAATTTTTCATTTCATATTTGTCTGTCTCTTAGAAATTTAAGATATCAGTTTTCAGCTATCAGTGAATTTATTCTCCAAAACTAAGAAAAACTTGGCTAATAAAACGAAATTTTAAATTGCTTTGTGATTGACTAGATGACTAGAATACTAACATAATCTAGTTAAGTTATTGAGAAGAAGACCCTAGGTAAGATTTAAAACTAAGATATGATATATTTCTAGCTATACAAGAAAGAAATACGTATGCAGTAGGTGTATGGAGAAGAGTTAAGATGAAATTAGATGGTAGAGATCCTGATATTAATAAACGTCTATCAGTAGCTGAACAGGTATATACAAATTATTATCAGTTTAGAAACAGTTATTTAAGGTTAATCTAAGAACAGTCCAAAAGTCTCTTATAAGAGAAATAAAGCATATAGTAATAGTGATACTGTAGTTGGTGAAATGTTCTATATCTGTAGTAAACAATAAGTAATTTAGTAATAATTTTTAAATCAACACATGTGATATATAGCACCAGTCGTCATGGAAGTGAATCATTTCCTTATGAACAAGAGTGGATGGACAAGCAAAATGTATAAATGACCTTCAAAAGGTTGTATGTAACATGGCACCCCAACTTAGTGAAATACTGAATATAGATATTATTATTACTATTATTATTTTTTCAGGTTGATTATGTTATAAAAGATGCCACTAATA